CTTTTTTTTGGTATTTTCACGCAAATTCTTCTGCTAGTTGGGGTTTAGTCCAATTCTGCATTCTTTCCTTCAAGGCTCAGGGGTCCAAGATTATCTTTTGTGTCTGGGTTAATTGGTTTCCCTTTTCTTTGTTGAAGAGGGTCTGTGCAATCCTTCTGCCTAGTCCGCCATCTTGCCCCGCCTCCCAGTATGTTTAGTTTTAAAATACACTTAAATTAGGTTAGAGATTCATGAAAATTTAAACTGCTATTTGTTGTTGTTGTTGTTATGTGCCGTCGAGTCGGCCCCGACTCATAGCGACCCCTCTTTGGGTTTCCGAGGCAGTATCACTATAGAGGTTATAATATACCAGTTTCCAGCCAACTGATGTGTTCTCAGTCTGTCTGTTGTTATCAGTTGTGTTTTCATGCATTGTCAATCATTAAGGCTTGGCTTTAATTTTGAATCATGTTAGGTTACTGCTTCTGTTTCATTGGTTCTTATGTTATAAAATGTGATTACAGGGCAAGAAGGCAGTGATGAAGTTCAGAAGCTCCATGGAAAATTCATGGGGAACAAATTTATATCAACTTCCGAATATTAACAATTACATGATGCCTATTCCTCCTCCACCTCCTCTCCCAGATGGAAAATTCACCAGGGAAAATAGAGCTGAAACATGGAGAAGGAGACGATTTCGCCCAATCACTGCATCAAACGGCTTAGAACCTCTCTTTACCAAGGTGATTATGGAATCAATTTGTTAGCACAGAAAACATTTTACTATTAGCTTTCTGGATAAGCAGTAAAATAATTTGGGGAAATCACATGCAAAATACTTTGTTTAAAGAAATATATTAGTTTTATAAGTGTAAGCTTAAATAAATTTGAAACAAAGAATTTGAGTACTTCAGTTGAGTAACTAATTTAACACATCCAATAATGAAACATTTAATAGACCTTATGACCAAATTTAGTTTGAACTATACCTGTATACAAATTATCTATTTCTTTTGGTTTTCTCACTCAATCACATGTTAACATTCAAAACAACATAAAATACCTTATTAAAGTTTATTTTCTATGATGTATGGAATATAACTATGTAATACTTAGAAAAAATTCTTTCAATGTTCTTTAAGAGTATTATAGTTTGTTGAACTCAGTTTCTTAAAATACTAATAAAGAAAGTAATTCTAAGGCCAGTTAGTCTTCATACATATACAAATACAGATTGTATATCTTTACACAGATATGGGCTAGTATTAAGATCTCTTAATTTTTATTACAACCAATAGTAATCATATGTAACTAACCAAAAGGCTGGCAGTTCAAACCCACCAGCCACTCCTCAGAAGGAAGATTGGGCAATCTACTTCCATAGAGATACCGCCTCAGAAACCCAAGGAGGGGTTGCTATGAGTCAAATCAGCTTGATGGCAGTGAGCTCATTATTATTAGCAGATAGCTGGGTAGCCTATTGCTAATTGAGAATCAGGAAATAATGAAGCAACACATGTGGACTCTGCATGTTGGCTCTACAAAGCACCAACCTCTCTCTCCAGTGCACAATACACCACATGTCCACATCTCACTCTCAGCAGCTGCCCTCACCTTTAACACTCGTGAAAGATTGGGACCACAATCTTTGTGCTTGTTCAGATTTCCTGTTTCAATTCTGGTTTTCACCATTTCTTCCCTTGTTACTGTCTCTGAAAAGCCTTGTATTTCTCATCTCTGAGGCTTCCCCTTTACCCTTGATCTTATCCTTTTCCACTGTCCGTGGCACCACACACTGTCAGTTATTCTGTCCATTTTGGATTTTCATCCTTCCTCTAATATACCCTCTCTGCCTCTCAATATACTCAGGCCTTGATGTAGAATAACTGAATACTTTCCTCATATATTATGGCTTTAGACTTCTATTTTCCCCTTTCCCATACTGCAGAGTTCTCTGAGGAGTTGTTTATTACAGTTCAGTCCAACAAACAACCTTAAGCAACTCTTCTTACTAACAAAAATGATTATTTCTTGCTCACACCTTTCAGACCTGGAGTCTGAAAACCAAAAGGGAATAACATGCTCGGCATTTCTCAAGCTGAAAGAATTGAAGAAAAAATTTAAGCCTCGAGTTGCAATATTGAGAGATTGTATGGGCAAAACATTGAATGATGCAGGAAACATCAAGAGAAGATGGTAGGAATACACAGAGTCACTGTACCAAAAAGAACTGGTCGATCTTCATCCATTTCAGGAAGTGGCATATGATCTAGAACCAATGGTACTGAAGGA